AGATAGTCCAGATAGGGGCACTTTGCAGGGCCTTGTGGCTGCAAGATAATTTAGCACGTGTGCATGGTGGCAAACCCACAGACACCTGTGGGTTCTGTGCGAGATCTCTGGAGATAGACTGAACCCTTGGGTAGCTTCCCCAAGTTACAGTAAATAGTCAGTGATAGTAATGTGTCGACACCCGTGTGCAGGAAGTTTGTTGCGCGTTTTGTGTCCCATAAGTAGAGCCAGTTGTCGCTTAAGTTACGCAAGAATATGAACATTCGGTTTAAAACTGGAAGATTGTAATGTTTTATTGGTTTGTTGCGTCTTTTTATTAACTATATTAAAATGAACATCATTGATCATCTACAATAGTCTGGTATATAAAAAATATAGAATATTGCACATCAATATTCTGTATTTTCCTTTCAAGCCAGAAAAGTTTGGAGTTTAAGCGATACCCTTTATTGTCTTACTTAAGTTAGAAAAAGTGCAAGCTTTCAGGATGCCTTAGATCTATTTTGCAGGCTTTATATCGCGTACCTGTGTGGAGACTGGATGTGGGAGGAGGCTTCCCTTGCACCTCGTGTCCTAGGGACTCTGGTATTGGGGACAGAGTCCTTATGGACAATGAGTGGCAGGAGTGCCAGAGATGGGATCACAGTGGAAGCCAATATCTGGTTCTGCATCAGGGTTGTGGAAATCCCGAGGTCGACAGGCCGAGGTCACACCGAGCAGGCAGAGCAGGTACAAAAGGAGAAGGCATAGGCAGTGCAGTGAAGCAATCCGAAGTCAAGGGTATAGGCAAACAAGAATGGTCAAACGTTCCGAGGTCAAGGGCAGGCTGCAGGCAAACAAGGTCAAAGTCAATCCGGGTCAATAATCAAAGGTCCTGTAACAAGGAACAGGAGACGTCAGGGCGGTTGAAGAGACAATCCAGCAATGAGTTGGTGTGGAGTCTGAGTTTAAATAGGGAGGAAAATATCTGGAGAGCTGAAAATATCCTGTGCGCCATTTGGCGCGTTTTTCCACGCCCAATCCGTGGCGCGCGCAAGTGTAGTACGGGAACCCGGACTTGGCGCATGCGCGGAAGCAGCAGGTCTCTGACACTTTATGCAATCTGTATATAAGCCTAAAGAAGGGATCCAAGATATCCTGAAAACTTGCATCTTTAATAAATTAAGCTAGATAATAAAGGGTATAACTTAAACTCCAAACGCTCTGCATTAATTGATGTCTAATGTGGTACAATACTCTACTACCCCTTTCATGCCAGCAGATGGAGCTCTAGTCTCCTCTTCCTGCATTTTTCGGAGGAGATTTGAGGGAGGAACCTAATCTTCAGAATTACCCAGCTAAATAAATTAGCCAGAGCAGAGATTCACTGTTTCTCCCTTCACTTTCCTGCTTAGTTTAGATGGGACCATTGGGGCCCTTTCACATAGGCTGATCAGGAGTGAATTAGTACAGGGATCCAGGGTCGTCCCGAGGGTGGGTGTCACCTGGAGCAGAGACTGGGTGATGCTGTGACATCATCGCGCATGCGCGGTCGCCTTATTGATGCCTGCCAGCATCCATCTTCACCCGGCGGGATGGGTTGACACCATGGCCGTTCACCCGGCGGGATGGGGTGGCCGAGTGCCCGACTTTTCACAAAATGACTGACGGTCACCCCTGCAATGGTGGCACCCGGGTGCGGGCCACCCACCCCCCGTTGTGACGCCACTGCATGGATCCCCTCCTGATTGGAGCAGTAGGGATCAGATGCAATAGCTTAAAAAACTAAAGCCTTAATCAAACGGAGAGTCTGGAGGCAAACGGCTCTTTCTGCTCTCTCTCTATCGAAATCCGGCTCTGCTCTACTTTGGGAATCACAAGATATGATTGAACCCTGTATCAAATGTTTTTTTTGTAGAACAAACCTTCTCTATAAAAAGTGAAACTAAACCGTATCAATTTAAAAATGTTTAAATATAAAACCGATGGATGAAAACTAATGAACTCCTGCTGCAGTCAAGAGGAAGTCACCTCTTCCGCAGTGATCAGACTGTAACTTTGTATCCAATTACAAGGTGGGAGGCTGCATGCAGGGGCTGATTTGTGTTATTTATTAATACAGCCGAGAACTGCACAGACACAGGGTTTACATGATTCCTGGGCCTGCATCTCAGTCCAGTAAGTAGATAGTGACCCCGCATGATGGCTGAGCAAAGATGATGTCGTCCTTCTGGGGACAAAATCAGATGAATGCATTGTCAGGGAAAGTACTGTGTTCTCTGTGAGCGGTAGTACGTACTGGAAATGGTAGACTAAAACATAACTATACTTGTGGCATGTACGCTGGTAATAATGTATCTAATGACATCTGAATATTCAATCTTGAATATTTAGGGTCATGCACAAGTCCATATTTACTTAATAAAGGTATTGCTATGATGACCGTGGCTTTTTAGGACCTTCAAGCTGCTTCAGCTCCTTCAAGCTGAACTTGAATATGTTCCTCTATAGCCACGAAATCCACTTTGTTTGCACCAAATGCCGTTGTAGACCTAGAAATTACCATGTAAAGGTAGCAGTGACATCATCACTGAGCTGCACATAGCTTGTGCAGAGAACAGGGCTGTGGGAGGGGCCCAGCAGGCCCTGCCCACTACATTCTGCCTGCAGAAAACTGCTGGAGGGGAAAGAGACGAGACCATTCACCCTACACAAGGAGAGAGGGCAGCAGTGAACGGTCTTTATTACAGGAGGAGGCGGAGACAAGACTAGTCACCCTGCACAAGGAGAGAGGGCAGCAGTGACCGGTCTTTATTACAGGAGGGGGCGGAGACAAGACCAGTCACCCTGCACAAGGAGAGAGGGCAGGAGGGGGCGGAGACAAGACCAGTCACCCTGCAGAAGGAGAGAGAGTAGCAGTGAGCGGTCTTTATTACAGGAGGGGGCGGAGACGAGACCGGTCACCCTGCACAAGGAGAGAGAGCAGCAGTGATTTGTCTTTATTACAGGACGGAGTGGAGACGAGACCAGTCACCCTGCAGAAGGAGAGAGAGTAGCAGTGAGCGGTCTTTATTACAGGAGGGGGCGGAGACGAGACCAGTCACCCTGCACAAGGAGAGAGCAGCAGTGAGCAGTCTTTATTGCAGGAGGGGGAGGAGACTAGACCAGTCACCCTGCACAAGGAGAGAGAGCAGCACTGACTGGTCTTTATTAGAGGAAGCTCCAAGTCTCACACTGGTTCACTACACAGATCTGGAAGCAATGCACAAGCTCACCAAGATTCCATTGACTCTTGTATGAGGACAAAATCTTCTTATCCCAGAGTTCAGTTTTCAACGCCAACTTCCATTTCCTACAATCACTAGTTTCCACTCTCTGGCTTCTCTCACCCTCTTGCAGGAAGCAACACGATTAAGAAACAAGTGAAGCTCACGAGCCGTTGCGATCCCTCCCCCACCCCCCCGGCAATCAAGTTTCTTAGTTGTAACTTAAGCCGTAAAAGAACTTGTGAACAATCAGAAAGCTGTTTTTGCAAATCACATTACAATCATCCTGAATGCATTAGCGTTTAATGAGCCCCGGCGCTGGACATCGTGGAGCCGCGGACTCGCAAATACGCTCAGGCCGCTATCTGAGACTTGTAACAGGAGCTCGTAAAAAACATTTCAGAGCCGAATAACTATCGGCACATAGCAGACGGGCAATACGGGTTATTATTTTTCTTCTGTACTTACTGATGAACAGCATCCAGTTTTTTATTAATAACTGAGTTTTATTTAGGTTTCCATTTTTTAGTCTTTCCCGCAAGACCCCCCTCCCCCC